GGCTCCACATCATGCTACTACATAACATTTATTTTTCTGTCCATCTCCTTCAAAAGTGTTTCAATTTTATGATGCAACAGAAAGAAGAAAAAACATTTTCCTTACTGCAATTGAAAAAGTACCATCCACAGTGAATATAAAACGAGGCTCTTAAAGCAGAGGCACCTTCCTTTTGGGCAGACAAAGGCATTAATCACTTCAATGGTTTCCCTGATTCCTTTCGCACAGTTAACATGCATTAAAAGTATGACTGATCACAGAGAATAGAAATCCCGAGAGAAAGCTGGTTTGGATTTTATTTCCTTTAACTGCACACTTTATTCTCTGTGCTAGGGGATTCAATGCAATTGCATATTTTACTCCCTTGATTCCTTCTCTTAAAAATGGTTCTAAGGTGGATGTCTTTTAAAAAGCAAACAAACTATTTATTCATTTAATAAACTTGCATCATGACTGTGTCTCAGACACTCTCACATCACGAGTTAGGAATTGCTTGTGATAGACTTCTTTCAGTTAAACAGTTCAGTTCAATAGAAGACACAGTTTTGAAACTGTTTGTAGCTTACATGCATGTTTCCCTTCAGGGAATAACGTTTGCTTTTATTGCTAAAATGCTATTACTTGAAACAAAAATTGTCTAGAAAAAATAAAATCTAAGAAAAATATAGATGTGGTTTAGATCAGTCCATAGGCACTTAAACAAACCTATCTACTTATGAGCTCTAGTACCCAATGACTGTGAGGACAAAACAGATTTCTAGTGAGTACCATACAATAGCATGTAACCCTTAACCACACAGAGACATCAGAGATGCTAGGAAGGGCTTTATAGACAATATAAGCAAAATCACATTACAAGCAAAACCCTAAGAGCCAACACTTGTAAAGTTCTCTGTTTATACCAGGCAATATTCTAACTGATTTGTAGTTAATTTTTGTGAAAAAACTTTTTTTTTTCCCTCTAGTATTAGGGATTGAACCCAGGCGTCTTGCAATGTATGCATGTGTGGCCACCGAATACACTAAGAGAATTGGAGTAATAAAAATGAAACACAAACCTTCTCTCCACTCCTCTGTCAAACAGTTCGAAAGTCTGATAGCACTAAGTGTTAGGGAAGAGACAGAAAAATTCCTCTCAGATATTGTAGGTAGGAAAATAAATTAGAGAAACACTTGGGCAAACCATAGTCAATACCTGGAAATGTACATGTAAATACCATTTGGCAATGAAAAGAAATTAGATAGACCCATACAGTGTTCTCAAAAAAATATAGAGTAAATTAATTCAAGTGGCACAAGAGATTTATACTGCAAAATCCCAATTATGTGAAAGGTTTTTTTTGAAACCATTGACAATATAATATATAAACATACA